ATTAATATTTTTGAGTTGTAACATGAAAGGGAAATATTACTGTAGAATTCCTATATTCATCAGTTTCTTCAAGAACATAGATACCAAGCCCACTGTGCTGATTGGGGCTTGCCCCTACTTACTGTTTTTGCCCCACATAGGTATTTATGTTATGTTTGAAAAGTTTCAAAATTCTGTTCTGAAAGCAATCTTGGCCTTAGCTCCAACTGCTTCTCTTAACTCACCTGATGAACTGGTTAGATTATTCTTCTGTCCAGGCTTTAATCTTTTTCTTTTTTGTTTTTTTTTTGGTGGTACTGGGATTTGAACTCAAGGCCTTGCACTTACTGGTCAGGAGCTCTACTACTTGAACACCCCCACTCCACCCCTAGCCCATTTTTTGCATCAGTTTCATGTGTTTTTGCCTGGGGCCAGCCTCAGATCTTGATACTCCTACCTATGCCTCCCACTTAGCTGGGATCACTGATGTATAACTATCCCTGACTTATTGATTGAGATGGGTCTTGTTAACTTTTTTGCCATGACTGGACTTGAACCATGATCTGCCCATTCTCCACCTCTTGAATAGCTGGGATTACAAGTATGCCCAGTCAGACTTCAATCTGTTTTTTTTTTTTTAATCAAGACTCTCAATTTCCATAAGAGGATGCTACTTCTATCCCTGACTGCGTTGACTGGTACAACTTATGCCTCTCTACTTTCAGTAGCTATGATGGTTGCCCACTGCATACTTGTTAGGGAATATAGTCTCACTGCTATGCAGAACCTTTCCAGAACTTTACCAAGAATAATAATATTTAATGGGCCAATGCTTGAACCATATATAATGCATCTATTTTTTTTTTCAGTTTGAAATCCATCCCTTCTTTTTTCAGTTCAGCCCAAGTCTTATATCTGGACTAATTCTATTCCACTTCTCTAGAAGGAATTTTACTGAATTGACTTTTGGCACATGGCTTATATTTAGGGAATTTTTTGGAAATTGTGTGAAATTCAATATAGGATTTACTTTTTACTTTAAAATTTGATTTAATTTTTAATTTAATGTGTATGGGTTTCGTTATGATGTATTTCAATCATATTCACCACTCCATCACTCTCTTGTCCCCTTCTCCCCGCTCAGGTAGTTTCTGTACTCCCCAGATAGTCCCTTTTCTACTGTCTTTTTTTTTGTTTTAGTGGAACTGAGATTTGAACTCAGGGCCTCACACTTGCTAGGTAGGTACTGTACCACTTGAGGCACTCTGCCAGCCCCCTTCTTCTACTTTCATGTCTTTTGTTTTCTTGTTTTAAAATCTAGATTCTGCATACAAGAGAAAACACATGATACTTGTGTTTCTGAGTCTGACTTATTTCACTTAACATGATAATCTCAAATTTCATCTTTCTGCAAATGACATAATTTCATGTTTAAAAAATTTCATTCATCTTTATCACTGAATAATACTCCATTGTGACTATATGCCATATTTTGTTTATCCATTCATCCATTGATGGGTACCTAGGTTAATTCTATGAATTGGCTTTTGTGAATAGTGCTCTTGTAAGCATGGGTATGGAGGTGTATCTAATGCATGCTGACTTTGATTCCTTTAGGTGTATATTCAGGAGTGGTATTGCTGGGTCATATGGTGGTTCTGTTTTCAGTTTTTGAGGACTCTCCATACTGGTTTCCAAATTGGGTGGACAAATTTACATTCCCACAAGCAGTGTGTAAGCGTTTCCTCCCTTCACACCATTACATCATTGTCAGCATTTGTTATTTATTTTTCTTTTACTTTTTTTGGTGTTACTAGGGTTTGAACTGTGGGCCTCACGCTTGCCAGACAGGTGTTGTACTACTTGAGTCACTCTTCAGCATGGTTACTTATTTTCTTGATGGTTGCCATTCTGAATGTGAGATGGAATCTCACTGGAGTTTTGATTTCCATTTCTATTATGGCTCAGAATATTGAATATTTTTTCATGTATCTTTTGGCTATTTGCGCTTCTTTTGAGAACTACCCATTCAATTCATTTGCCTATTTATTGACTTGATTATTTGTTCTTTTGGTGGCAAATATATTCTGCCATCCTGCAGGATGTCTCTTCACTCTGGTAATTATTTTCTTCCTTCCTTCCTTCCTCCCTCCCTTCCTCCCTCCCTCCTTCCCTTCCTTCCTCTTCTTCCCTCTGTCCCTCCCTCCCTCTCTCTTTTCTTTCTTTCATTGCTGGGGGTTGAACTCAGGGCCTTGCTCTTGAGCCACTCCATCAGGTTTTTTTGCTCTGGGTATTTTTGAGATAGTATCTTGGTTTATGCCCTGGCTGGCCTGGACTGCAATCTTCCTATTTGTGCTCTCCTGCTTAGTTAGGATGACAGGTTGTCGCCATTGTACCTAGTCATTGGTTGAGATGGGGTCTTGTGAACTTTTGCCAGGGCTGGCCTCAAACTATTTTCTTGACATCCCCAGTAGTTAGGAATATAAGCTTGAGCCACCATGCCCACCCAGTATGTAGAAGCCTTTTAATTTGATGCAATTCTGAGGAGAGCAAATAGCAGAAGTGATTTTATCTTAGATAAGGGAAAAGGGAGGCCAAAAAATAGCTATGAAGTATAAATGGCAGAGTTAATTGAGAAAGAAATGCACTTTCTGCAGGTTGGGTGCAGTTCACTTCCAGGGAAAGAAGGTGGGTAGGCTTTAAAGTTGAAATGTTTGTTAAAGTTTGGGTTGGTTTGGGATGATCTCCTGGGTTTGGGGTCATTTATCTTGTTATATGAGAAAGATTGCTTGTGTACACTATTTACTGTTATTTATGTAAACTATGTCCTGCTCTAATTGATAGAAAGTTCCTTTTGGAAATTCCTAACCTGTGCTCTATCCAGCTGCTAGGTTTGGGCCACTGTCTTGTAAACATACCCTCAGATGTAAATTACTCTTAAGAGTGGATTAAATGTTAAGTAAGTAGCTAACCTCTAGGCCAGGTTGAGTTGACCAGACCCTCCTGAAATGTCCAGTTTGATAAAGATGGGAGTGGCCAGGTGGTGGGGTTCAGCAAGAAGTCCAGTATATGACATCCAATCACAAACATAGATTCAAGGGAGAATGGATGGACCTAAGTCAGGCAGAGCCCTATATTAGTCCTAGACTCCAGCTATAGTATAGTTTAGCTTTCCTAAGTCCTGCTTGTGCTGGGAGCTTTTGCTGTCTTTTCAGTAAACTTTGTGCTTGCTTTACTCTTAACTCCTGGTGCAGGGTCTTCAATCATTGACTTTTCTAGGACATGAACTCCGATCAGCAATTCAGTATCACCATTCCACCTGTCGATTCTTGCTCTTATTTCCTGAGCTATGGGAGTCCAATTCAGAAAATCATTGCCTATTCCTTTATCTTGAAGTGTTTTTTTGTATGTTTTCCCATAGTTGTTTCAAAGTTTCAGGTCTCACATTAGATCTTTGATCTATTTTAGATTGACTTTTTATAGGGTGAGATATAAGGATCTAGAGTTTCCTCAGCCCCATTTGTTGAAGAGACTGTCTTTTCTTCAGCATATGTTTTTTGAGTATAGGTGTGGGTTTATTTCTGGATCTTCTTTTCTGTTTCATTTGTCTTTTTGTGCCAGTACCATACTGTGTTTGTTACTATGGTTCTGTAGTATAATTTGAAATTAAATATTGTTATACCTTCAGCATTGCTCTTTTTGCTCATTAGTTGCTTTGGCTATTAGGGGTCTTTTGTGCTTCCACATGAATTTCAGGATTGCCTTTTTCTGTGAAGAATGTCTTTGAAATTGTGATAGGGAATGAATTCATTCTGTAGATTGCCTTTGGTAATATAGTCATTTTCACAATATTAATTCTACTACCTGTGAACATGGGAGCTCTTTTGATCTTTAAGTGTCTTCAGTTTCTTCCTTCAGTGTTTTATAGCTTTCAACACAGAGGTCTTTCACTTCCTTGGTTGGATTTATTCCTAAGTATTTTATTTTTTGGGACGCTATTGTGAATGGGATTGTTTTCCTGATTTCTTTCTTTGGATGTTTTTGGTATATAGAAAAGCTACTGATTTTTATATATGTTTATATATATAAACATGATTTTTTTATATGTTGATTTATTATATATGTTGATTTTTATATATGTTGATTCTGTATCCTGCTACTTTGCTCAAAGTGTTCATCAGCTCTAAAAATTTTCTGGTAGAGTTTTTAAGGTCTTTTAAGTATAGGATCATAGTTTCTACAAGATGGGATAATTTGACTTTTTCCTTTCCTATTTCTTTCTCTTATTTCACTAAGGATTCAAGCACTGCATTGAATAAAAGTGGAGAACTTGACACTCTTGTCTTATTCCTGAATGTAGAGGAAATGCTTTCAGCTTCTCCCCATTTAGTGTGATGTTGGCTGTAGGTTTGTTGTATACCCTTTATTATGTTGAGGTTGTTCCTTCTATTAACAGAAGGTTTATTTTTATAATGATCTGAAGGTCAGAGATAGCTGTATCTGATTTGGCTGTTTTTCTTTTTTTAAATATGAGCATTATAATTTTGTTTCTTTTGAGGTGGATGTTTGAAGGCTGGAAACCAGAATTTTTTTTTTGACTTGATTCTAGAAAAAGGCCTTTATGCTCTGTTTTGTAGATAAGCCTCTTTCTTGTTCTGTCATTCCCCCATACCTCATCCTGTCCTTTATTTCTCTTCCTTATTCCCGCTTTAAAATTTATGTTACTTTATTTATTGGAATAATGTGTGAGGATATAAAAAATTACACGTGTAAAGTCCTTTGGAATTCTGATGCTTGACAAGATAAAAGTTTGCTTCCACTAATTATAATTAAAAACTCTGCACAGATGGTAAAAGCAAGTACTTTATTGCTTCTAAACAATAGGAAATACATTGGGGAGGGTAGTCAAAACTGGGGATAAGCCCAGACAATGTGCTAGTCATTCTTAGAAGAGAGGACCTTCTGTACTTCTGTCCTTTCTGGGATCACCCCCATGCTCACTGGCTTCCATAAGCAACTTTTCCCAGACTTCTGGCAAAGATTTTCTTTTTCTTGGGAGTTTTAGTTGCTGTGCTGCCAACGTCGTGTTCCACCATCATCCTGTTCCAGAATTCATACCTTGGCTGCCTTGAGGGCAGGGCCAGGAAAGAACCAAGGAAAACAACAAGGTTTGCCTCTACACTGTCTGGCTGGAATGATCTCTTTTTGCCACCTTTTAAACAGGATGATAGTTTGGGAGAACGATGCCTACCGTACAACTCTATGACTGGGACTTTCCTGAGTCAAACCTGGGAGTATAAAGAGGAAATAAAAATGAGCAACTCCAGTGCACACAGGTTGTTACTTAAAGTTTTGATGTTATTAAAATCCAAATCTTACTGATATTTTAAGGGTAACCTTAATTTTTCTACTCTTTAAAATGTTTCCCCGGCTGCTTGCTTCCTAATCTCTCTCTCTCTCTCTCTCTCTCTTTCTCTCTCTCTTTCTGTCTCTCTCTCTCACACACCACACACACACACACACTCTGATACATATTACTGAATAGCATTAAGAATTGATCAAGAAATTTAAATACATATTTACCATATGATCCGGCAGTTAACACACTTAGGGATTGCCCAAAGGAAAATGAAAACATGTATCCCATATGAAGAATTGCACACAAATGTTCTCAAGTAGCATTATTCCTAGCCTAGTGGTGGGAACAATCCAAATGCTTCTCAGTTGCTAAATGGATAAAAAAAAGGTATATCCATACAATGGAATATTATTCAGCAAAAAAAAAGAACAAACTGATAAATGCTATGATATGGGTGGGCCTAAAAAAATTGTGGTAAGAAACCAGATACAAGAGACAACATACTGTATGATTCTATTTGTATGAAATATCCAGAAAAGACAAATGTATAAAGCTAGAAAGTGGATTAATGACTGCCTAGGATGGGGCAGAGGTTGGGGATTAATAGTATATGAATATGGCAATTATTTGAAATGATGAAATGTTTTAAAACTGCTTTATGTTTGTAGTTCCAGAACTTGGTAAATTTACTAAAAAGTAACTGAATTTTACACATAAAATGGATGACTTATTATATGTAAAATTATCTCAAGAAAGTCATTAAAAAGGAAAAAAACCGAGATAGGTGTATTTTATCTCACCATCGGGATTATAGTTACTCTATTAGCTTATTGCTTAGCATTTCATAAGTGCTTAATGATTGTGTATTTAATTTTTAACAACTTGAGCTTCCAAAATTAAACTGAGCCTAGCACTCCAGAAAGTATTCCATGGAGGTAAGTCTCAAACCAGTAAGTGAGGCATATACTGTTTATTTATTAAAACATTTTTATTGGCATATTGGATAGTAGATACAAATGCAGAAATTGTGAATGATCAGTGTCATGAACCCTGCTATGAGATTCATTTATGTTGTTTCATTTAGCCTGGTTCAGTTGTGTCCAGTCTTCTGTAATATGCCAGTGCTTAAGTACTTTTCTGATGATGGGCGGCGTTTGTTTCCATTTTGCCATACAGAGAGTGACACTAAAACCTCTTCCCTGCATGTCATGTCTCCTTCGTCTGTGTGCACTCACTTTTTTTTTGTTGGTAAATTTGTGTGTATTATTGGATTGCAGAGTATGTATCTGTTCAAAACAATACCAAACTGTTTTCCAAAGTGTTTACAAACTTTTAAATTCCTGCCAATTCTCGGAGCTCTTCATCCCTACCAGTATTTGATATTTTCAGTTATTTTAACTTCAGCTGTTTTGGTGGGTTGTGGCAGTATTTCTTTGGGTTTCAATTTTATTCCCTTATAGACTAATGAAATGAGCCATTTGGACATTCTCTTTTAGGAAGTGCCTGTTTGAGTAATTGTCTTTCCATTTTTTACAATAGGTGGTTTATTTCTCAGTAACTTGTAGCATTTTTAAGGTTTTTAAAAAATATGTTCTGGTTATAAGCCCTTTGTTAATATTATTTTAAGTGTCTTCTACTCTAGCTTGCCTTCTCTCTCTTATAATGGTGTCATTTAATATATATGACTCCATTTTAAAGTAATCTTTCATTGTGCTTCATGTTTTTGTTTTTTTAAGAGAAATTACTGCCTACCCCAGGATCATGGAGAAAATCTCTTAGAAACTTATCATTTTACCTTTAACATTTATATTTGGAGTTTCTTTTTATGTGTGGCATGTAAGATTTTTTTGCTTGTTTTTGTTCTTTTGTGCGGTACTTGGATATTGAACCCAGGACTTGTGTATGCTGGATAAAAGGGCAAGTGCCCCGCCCCAGACCTACCTCCCCTGCCCTAATTTTATTTTTGAGACAGGGTCTTTCTAAGTTGTCCAGGCTGGCCTTGAACTTGTTATCCTCCTGTTTCAGCTTTCCTAGAGACTGTGATTACATTTGTACACCACTCTTAGATGGAAAGTTCTGCTTTTGTTTTTAAATGGTCATTCAGTTGATCTGTTGCTACTTATTGAAAAAAAATCTTCCTTTTTTTCACTGCTCTGTAAAGTTATTATTGTTGTAAGCTAGGTGCCTTGTATGTGCATGTATTTTATAGATTTTCTGTTCTGTTCCTTATATCAGTACCACATTGTCCTAATTTATTACTGTTGCTTAAATTAAGCCTTTTATTGGACAATTCTGTCTAGTTCTGTTTTCATAACAGTATGTGGTTAATTTTGACAGTTTGTATATCCATATAATCTTTAGAATCTTCTTCCTTATTTCTTAAAAGTACTAGAATTTTGATTGGGATGCCATTGATTATAAATCTATATAGAGATAATTGATTTCCTATTTTTATGTGTGTCAGCTGGGAGTTTGTTCATATAATTTTTCAGATTTATCTGCAGGATGTTATTTCTCACACCTTACCTTTTTGATGTCTTGTAGACTCTGATGTGATAATCCCTTTTCAGTCCTATTAATAGGTACTTGCGCTTTCTATTTTTCTTTGTCAATCTTATTTTCTAATCATTGATTTTTGCTTTAATCATTGTTCTCTTCCTCTCCTTTGTTTTCCTATGTTTTTAGTTTTGGTTTTTGGTGGTGCTGTGGATCAAAAACCAGGGCCTTGTTCATGCTGGGCATTCACCATAGCACTGAACCTCAGCCCAACCTCATTCCTATCCTTTTTGGATTTAGCTTGTTATTTATATTTCAGAGAGTTCTTGGATGCTTAAGCCATTGCTTTCAGTTATTTTTTTCCCTTAATGTGTACTTTTATGTCTATACATTTTTCTATAAGCATGACTTAGTACCCATGTCCTCTAATTTTCATTTTTGTAATTATTTTATAACCGTGTCTAGTATGTTCATGATCCTTCAGTTAACCATATTTTCTGATCTCCATTGTGATATTTTCTTTGACCCACAAGTTAATACATATTTAGAAGGTGCATCTTGAAATTTCCAATTTTTTTTTTAGTTATTGCTTTCTAGTATAATTTTATTTTGGTACTTTTATCAGAGAACATATTCTGAACACTTTCAATCCTCAAATTTATTGAGATTTCTCCATGATCCAAATGTTACCAGTTTTTGTAAATATTTTGTATATATCTTAAAGGAGTGTGCATATTTTCAGCTATTTGTAGAATCTTTGTCTATATGCTAATTAGGCCAAGTTTGTTAATTTAATTGAAATATTTTATTATCTTAATGAACTTTTGTCTGTACTTTTCTCAGTTAACTAAAAATTATTTTTATAAAAAATTAAATTTTCTTCTCATTATACTAATTAATTTGGGGGCCATATTGTTATGCGTGTATGCAAATAGGGAATTGTATTTCTCTTGAGCTTTTTGTCATTATGAAATGTTCTTCTAATGTAGTAAGTGCTTTTGATCTTAAAGTTTTGTTTGTCCAAAATGAATGGTTGGTCAGTATTTATTTGGTATATACCATCAAACTTTCTAGGCTAGGTGTGATGGCTCATGCTTGTCATCCTAACTACACAGGAGGCCTAGGTAGGAGAATTGGGCTGGGCATAAGTGTGAGATCCCATCCCTAAAATAACTAAAGTAAAAAGGACTGAGGGACTGGCTAAACTGGTAGAGCACCTTCCTAGCAATCACAAGGCTCTTAGTTCAAACCCTAGTACTGCCCAAAACCCTAAAAACAAACAAACACTCTATTCCCTATGTGTTACATGTTTCTTGTAGGCAACATTTAATTATGTTTTGCTTTTTTCCTCCACTGTTTTTTATCTGTGATACATTTGGAAATATTTTCTCCATTTGTCATTTGTGTTTTGACTTTGTTTATAGTCTTTTTTGGTTACTATTTGTTTCTTTTTTGTTTGCCATATAATCATCCCCTTACTCCCACACCCTTTCTGACGTTCAAACTCAGATTTTGTGCTTGCTAGGCTGGCACACTGCCACTTGACCACTTGAGGCACACCTCCAAGCCTCAATGTATAAAGTTTATGGAGTTTTTTATTTTATTTTTTTAGTGTAAACAAATTTCGCAATTTTGCACCTGGATTTTAGTCGTAGAGACCCTTTTCCTATACCCAGGTTATAAGAGAATTCACCCTTGTGCTCTTCTGTTACTTTTTAGAGTTTGTTTTGGTCTCCTGTCCATTTTGAGTTTATTCTTATATGTGATGTGGTGGCTAGATCTAATACTGTTTTCTTCCAAACAACTATGTTTTTTTTTTTCTTTTTGGCAGTATTGGGATTTGAACTCAAGTGCTCTACCACTTGAGTCGTGCCCCTAGGGTGCTCACCCTCCCCCCAACCCCAGTCTTTTTTTTTTTTAATTGTTGTGCTGGGTGAGGACATTGTGGCATTTATAAATGTTCTTATAATATGTCAAATATATCGTACTTGAATTCACCCCTCCATCATTCTCTTTTATCCTTCCTCCCCCCATTCCTGGAATAGTTTCAGCAGGTCTCATTTTTCCATTTACATACATGTGTACACAGTATTTGCACTATATGCACCCTTCCATACCCTTTCCCCACTTCCTCCATCCCACTGGTACCAACCCTCCCAAGCAGGACCTGTTCTACCCTCCTGTTCTCCAATTTTGTATAAGAAAAAAATGAAATTTTTGTTTGTTTAAGATAGCTACCCAGGGAGTTTCCTTGTGACAGTTCCATGTATATATATAAAACATAACCCAAATTGGTTCATCTTCTCTATTTTTCTTCTTTCTATCTTAGTCCTCTTCTTATGGTGGTTTCAACAGGTTTAAAAATTCTATATTCACTTTTGTATAGAGAGTACATCAACCATATTCACCTTCTTCCTTCTTTTACACTCCCCCCTCTTGTATGTGACTTCGCTTTAGCATGACCTGTTTTTCATAATATTG